CTGCTTTCTCTGAGTCTACTTTTTCCTAGTTGCATTTTACTCCTCTGGTTCATTCTGACCTAATAACTACTTTACGAGTCCCCTGTAATTCTGCCACTTCATGTGGTCTGTATCCACGGGGTCATAATTCTTCTATCACATTCTTACTCTGTCCTCTTCTATCTTAATTACTCTTCATATTTCTTTGAGTTTTAATTGGAATACTCAATCTTTCATATTTGTATATTCTCTAATTTATACTGTGAGTTATTCAAGAACAGCCTCTGTCATAGACTTCTTTGTACTCAGCCTTGTCATCATATCAAAGCCCAGGAACTGTAATGTACTTGGTGCAGAAATTCTACGTGAGGGACGATGGCATCCTGTATACAATTCTACTGGAATTATTCTGACCTTTCAAAACTATGTTTCTATTCTTTGTTTTTGAAGGATGGAAATAATACATACTATAATTATTGTAATTTTTAACATAAAACCTATATAAAGGAGAAAGTAAAATTCATCAATAGTCCCCTTCAAGCTCCTCACTTCCAGAGACAGTTAAGTTTAATAGTTTGAAGTAAAATCCTTCCAGATATTTTTTTCCAACCTAAAATAATTTTATACATAAATTTGTTTTACATGGTGTGTGAGCCTGGGTTGGGGTGAAGGCTCCTTGGGTGACCAGTTTAGCTGTCTGCTCTTTCCTGCAGTAAGAACTATGCTCATGGCTACTGTGCCCTCCCTGCCTCCCCAAGCCTGAGCTGAGATGCCAGATACAAAGGGCTGGCACGGAAAGAGGCTTAGATGCTGGCCTAAGCTGAACACAGGTAAGGAGTGTTGCATAATCAAAGCCTGAGTAAATATAGGTAATAAGGTACTTGCATTGACTAAATCTTGCAAGAAAAAGTATTCATGTTTCTCTTTGGTATTTTAGGTTCTCAGAAAGGAAATGCACAATGATTAGTTTTGTTAGAGCAGGCAGATAGCTAGATATGAGCAGAGAAAGGGGGACACAGACCAAATGGCAGGAATTGGGCAGAAAGGAGGGGCACAGGTCAAATGCAGGAAACCACACATCATGTAAGCAGCAGGGGTCCTTGGGCAGAGAAAGAAAAGCAGGAACCTTGGGGCTGATAAGGGATCATGCCTTTTGGAAGGACAAGTGGCCTGGAGAACACAGGTGAGAAAAGGCAGGAATTTCTAGTGTCCTAATGTAACCTTTTGCTCATTATGCCCTCATATCAATAAAATTAGCCTTGCAGATCAGAAGTACCCATCATGCACTGATGCCATGACACTTCCGATCCAGACTAAATAAGGACAAAAATCCCTCCTCCCTTTGGGAAGGTGGAGTTGGGATGATGATCAGGGAATACAACCCCCAAAGCCTTTCCTCCCCAATGAATTTTCCGCCCATTCATTTTTACACCCTATGTAACTAACTTGCCAAAGAAACTCAGGGCAGCCGCTCACCTGAGCCTGCCTGCTCTCCGCTGAGAGTGTACTATCCATCCTTTAAGAAAACCTCACTTTACCTTTTTTAACCTCTAAGTCTTGTCTCTGAATTCTTTCTGGGATGGGACAAGAACCTGGAACACCAGTTGCATCTATCAGCAACATCTTAAAATAAGAGTTTCCCATCCTGAGAGAATATCAAATTGTCCTTATATGTAGACCATTAAGAGTATTTTATTTGTCACATACATGTATTTTTTTCATGATTTTTCCTTATCAAGACTTCTACAACAAAGTCTTGATTTTAATATAATAACAGTGCATACACTGAATACGATGTAGATTTTT